TTTCAACTTTTGTCTGAAGACTCTTGTTGTAATATCATGAAGATCAATAGGTGATTGGCCAGGAAATAAAGCTTGTTTAATTCCTATCCATTGTGGATTGCATGTAAATGTATTGAACAAATCTGCTGTGCCATAATGCCGAACATAGGACATGGCATCCTGAGCATTTTCATGCATTTGTCGAGAACTTCCGATGTAGGTTGCTGGAAGAATAGTCATCCGGCCAACATTTTCTGCATTTCAATCAGAATTCATTGCATCTCGAAGGTGAATATACTCTTCAGATCGAAGTTCGGTCTGATTCAACCTGATGAATGTTAATCTCTCCGTTTCAATCTTTACATACATATCAACAACATATCTGTGACATAATCGCCTGCATTTCAAGATATGATTGTCTTCATTTTCTCTGATTATTTAGGCGGTATGAATAATAGTTAATTGAACTAACTTTTATGTTGATTTCAGAATCTGTAAATATTTTTTTATTATAATGGCAGTTGAATAACAAATTAAACTAAAGAGTAGGTGACGTAACATCTCATAAAGCAATATTTCAATTACCTGTAATGGAATTAGTATTGAGTGGAATGGAGTTCGTGTAATGGAATCTTATTGATTGAGAAATCGTAGCCATCTTCGCCTTGCCAAAATATAATGGGATATTGCAGTGCACCATATGAGCGATGTATTTCCTTAATACATTGTAATTGATTATTTCGACGATGTAAAACAATATTACGTGACTCCAAATTTTTTCCAACTACAACAATGGCAACTTCATCAATAGTAGGTGCACTAAAACGTCCTGCATGTTGGCCCACAGGAGTTTTATCAGCTCTGAAAACAATTTTGTGATCATCAGATGACATCATATCTATTGTGAAATAAGTTTAGTAAATGTTCAACTATTGACCTTTTCACTTAATTGTTATGTACACAACGTAGATTGATTTCTTGTGGAGAATTGAGACAGACATTGTTGGCAAAGAATAAAATAATAGGTATCTTTTTTGAAGAATTTATTTTTTAAGTTTTACAAGTATTTTATTAACAAATAGCTTCTTAGTATAAAATCATAAAACAATAATTAACTCTGTTTAAGAACTATTTAACCATAGATAAAAGTAACGTAAGACTATTCGTCACTAATATCCATATTGCTTGAATCATCATCACTGTCTGTGCAGCTTAAGGAGTCAGAATCTTGCAAATTAATAAGAAATCGGTGCATCTCTTCATCAACGATGCGGTCGTGCTGACAATATTTATTTTCAATAGTTTGTACATGTTTATCGCAATTAACCCATTTTTCTACAGAGAATTCGGCAAATAACTGTTCCAGGGTATTTTTCTTTTTGTCTAAATTTAATCACTTTCAATTTTTGCGAGCTGTCCTTTGATATCCCCCCCAAACCAATTCGATCGGGTTCAAGTCTGGGTGATATGGAGGCAGGCCTAAGACTTCATGACCTGCCGTCTTTAAAATTTCATCAATTTTGTAAATATTTTCTGCTTCGTGTTGTTTGATTAAATTCAATAAACCGCATTTTCTGGAAAACGTATCAAATTCAACATTGTGTCTTTGCAGCCAGGTCTGCATGATGGCTTTTATGTCATCGTAGGCTTTTTGTCCTCCTGTACCGAGTGGTATGCGGCATTATCCATAACAATAACTCAGTTTGGCGGTAAATTTGGCAATAGCTTTTCAGCCCATTTGTTGAAGTTTAAAAAAAATCATATCGCCATGATAATCTCCGGTTTTGCTTTTAGATTTTAAAATTAAAAGAGCTCCATCGATAAATCCAGTTTATTCTCCAGCATGTACAATAATTAAAAGTGACCCTTTGCCAACATGCGACAGCACCTCTCAATACTTATATAATTGTTAAATTTGATTATATTAGCGCCACTCGGATTCTTGCTCATAATACTTGTAATTATTCAATTTAGCTTATTATTACGATATTATTAAATCATACAAACATTAACTCCACTGGGACTTGAACCTAGGAGTAGTCGAGACCTTGAAAACTATTGTAGTTATATACCACTCTGAGCTCGACATGCTTTTTCTTACCTGCATACGTATTTCATTCTGCTCCTCCTGTAGCGTTAAATGCGACGCGAGTAACCTAGCTGTATTACATTTACTGTATAGAACAACACATGCATTTGTTATCAATGGATGATAATGCAACTTGCGATCCACTAGTAAACAACGCCAGCGAGATTTGAGCAGCCCATACACCGCTCTACAGTATTCCGAACTAGACAATGTAGGTCGGTATCCTTTATCGAAATCAGTTTTTAGTAGCCGACCGAAGGGGTTGATTATAGTAAACTTATTAGTTTGTAATTTAATTACAATTATAATAAAATTGAGCTTCTTGCAGCTGTCAGGGTCTTCAGGTGCGTCGTGGGCAGCAAGATAAAACCAGTTTTTATGGAATATAAATTAAATTTATTCGTGGAGACACGTTAAAGTAAAGTTTACACAAACCGCCATTACACGTGAGAGAGAGAAGATACAGTAACAAGGACAAAAAAATAATTCTTGTTGGTGTTGCCAACACAGCTATAGCTCGGACATATAGTTCATTCGCGTTAAGAAAATAGTGACTCATCAGTGCAACTGCAGGGTAAGGGTGTATTCATAATGGAGAAAAAATTAAACATTTTTTTTCAAAACATTAAATAAGTTTAATAGAAAAATAATAAAGTATCAATGATTTTAAACATGTTAAAATATTCCTATTAAGGTAATTTTTAATGTCAACTTAAACGCTATATTAGTAGAGTAACACATATTTGGATTAATCGTAATAAGTACTAAAATAAAAAAATACAAAATTGTCTTAAAACTAAGTACTTAAATCGCTAATCAGTATCGCTAGATTCTCCCGTTACATTTATTACGAATGAATTTTGTTCTGCATGTTCCATGACGTCATCCAAACCCCACATGGTATTTTCTTCGCGTATCACGTGGTCGCAGCATTTCTTCCACCGATTGGCGTCTACTAACGCGATTGCGTCATAAAATTTTTTTTTTACGTCACTCATTTTGAATGTAGTATTATTCGCAGCAATATAATTTTTTATTTGGACCCACACCATTTCAATCGGATTTAATTTACAATGGTAAGGCGGCAGACGAAGAATTGTAATGCCATTGTTTTTAGCAGTCTCATCTACTAAATATTTATTATATTGTGGGGCGATTTCGGCGACTTTCAATAATAATTCTTTTTTCAAATAACTCATATCCATAGATATGTCTTTGTTTTGCAACCACTCTAGTATTTGCTGCTTATTCCAACTGGCCGTGGGTATTTTTTCAACTTTTACCGAATGGTAGGGAGCGTTATCCATGACAACCACACTTCCTGGTTCAAGCTTCGGTATTATACCATTGAACCAATTAAGGAATCTTTCACCATCCATTTCTTCATGATAATCTTTTGTAGATTTAGATTCAAAGACTAGTAAACCATCTTCCAGGAATCCTTTTTCGCTGCCAATGTGCAATATAATTAACCTTTTCCCTTTCCCTGTCGGAGCTTTTGGGCCGGTTGATAAGCCATCTTGGAAAGCTTGTCTTTTATTCTTGATTGTTGTATCCAACCACACTTTTGTTTTTACGTGTCCGGCGTTTACCCACGTTTCGTCGAGATAGTAAATGGTTTTATTAGCGTTTCTATATTCTTTTATTTGTCTTAAATATTTTCGCCTCCATAAAACAATATCTTCTCTTTCCACTAACAATTTTCTACTATCTTGTTTATTGAAGTCAAAACCAAGCTCGTGCAGTATTTTGTGAAGTGTTGTACGTTTGAAAACAGGAATATCTTCATCAGCTTCGCAAAGTGTTATTATTTTGTCCAATGTTGGATACTCGTTATTTAAATATATAGAGTGTACTTTTCTCCTTATTGCACATTTGTCTAGTTCATCTAATTTATCGACCGTGGATAGTCGAGCTCTTTTTTTCACAGGTGATTTCAATGTATTCGTTTCTTTTTGTTCTTTTATAATTTTATAAACAGTGTTTTCGGACACACCGCATGCACTTGCAGTTTTAATTACTATGCTCTCCACAGTCTCATTTAAATCAATCTGTTTGAAATATTTATAAACATTGTAAATTACGCGTCTCTCTCCGCTATGTATAATTGATCCACTTTTATTTTTTTTAATAGGTGAGATATCCATTTTCCAAATTTAATTTTAAACAAGTAGTACGCAAAATACACAACCGATCAGTTCGAAGGTCTGACTTCAACTGAGCACTGTGAACTCGCCTTACTAATTTCTAGCGTTTTAATTGGCTAGGGGGCGTGGCTTGGCCGGCAGTCGGTGATGAGTCACTATTTTCTTAACGCGAATGAACTATAGTTTGTAGTAAATTTTTTCCTTTGTAGTTACTTCAAAATTGCAAAAAGAAACATATTTCTTGCAGCCACATATCCGTAATCGTTTGTAGTTCATTTGTCTAAATGCATTGAACTTTTTCCTTTTGTAGGTTCTTCAAAATTATAAAAAAAGAAGTTATCTTGCAGCTACAGCTTACATATCGTTCGCCCGGCAATTCGATCCGCCACTAATTTGTGTGAGCAGTTTGATTCCTACTGTCTCAATGTCGATTTACAGGTTGCTACCGCCAGGAACAGTATTATCGACAGGTCTCAAATCTGGTACACACTTCGCAACACATTCGTAAATGCCTCGCAAGTCGTTTCTGGCGATTGGAATTGGGTTAACGTCCAGTACTGGATTTATATGCGATTTCTCAAATTTGCAATGTCGACAATGAACGTTCACCGTAACGGACGGTACCATCGAGTAAAATAAAGTTTTTCATAAGCGTCCCGATGTTAGTCATACATTCCAATATCTTTTATTTACTTTATTTGCATATTTTAAAATCCCAGTGCGATCGCGGTAGAGTTTCGGACATTGGATATTTTTTAAAAAACACATTCACGGGGAGTTGGGGCTTCGGTAATGTATTGAATAAATAATACGGAGCAAAATCGTGATATTCAGCCGCAGTATATCTTTGAATCGTCGAATTAAATGCACATTTTAGCAGGAAGAAAAAAGTCTTCTTGTTCGAGGAAAGCGTTTATTATTTCCTTAACAAATAATTTGGTTCAGCCAGAGGAGCCGGCAAGTAAAAATGTGATAAAATATCGGATCGCAGAGAGAGCTGCGGGAAGCGGAATTGCGTAGTGTCGCTTCAAAGGCGCGTCTCCCGCGACTCCTTGAATTTTCGAGAAGGGGCCTGTCGCCGCTAGGGCTGCCAACATTTTTGATTAAAAAAAACGTATAAACTGCTTTGGATAGGAAAAAAATAAAGTATTAGGAAGTAAAAAAAGAGTATTTTTCAAATTTTATGTTTTTATTGCTTTAAAAACGTATTTTTGCGTGCTTTTAGCACATGCTAGCAATTTTTTGTTATCTTTAAATGTTGCAAAGCTTGTTTGACAATCAACATTTAAATTTAAATAAATAAACAATTCGTTTTTAATTAAATTTATTGATGCTCTTTTTTTCTTGATTTCTTTCTTCTCGCCACTTTAGATTCATTACTGAAAAAACTCTTTCAGTGAAAGCTGAAGTGGCGGGAATGGAGAGTAGGTAAGATTTTTTTTTTTTATATTTGGTAAGCTATCAGATGCATTTTTAGTATATATTGCCATTTTTCTACTGTACTTTTCACAGAAAATTCTTTATCATCATTAGTGAATTTTCTCTGGATCTCTTTAAGTCTTATAGATTCGGAATACACATCGTCCATCTTAATATTTAATCTGTCTTGTAATTTAGCCTTTGTAATAACCATTTCAAAATGTTCAAATTTTACCTCATTTTTCAAAGACATGTTAGGAAGTATTGAAAGCCAGTTATCTTCGCTAAAATCAAATGATTTTGTCATATAATTTAAGCTCATATCAATAAAGAGTGAAAAGTTACTGATAACTGTATTGAATGTTTTGGGTGATGACTTTCAAATTTTTTGTAATCTCATTTTTGATTCATAACCAAAGTACTTATCAGTTTTTCTTTGTTCTAATTCGTTTCTTAAATTATCCATAATATTATAGACATCTAGTATAGTCACATCATTTCCTTCCAGACGTTTTATTGTTGTATTAAATATATAAAGCATGTGGCTTGTAAAGTGTAGATAAATTTCCACAACATCCCTATCCTGTTGATCACTTAGTTTTAATAATTCTTTTATAATTATTGGACAATTATCACCTAAACTTATAAAATAATTACATATTGGTGCCCAATTAAGTAAAAGGGTGTCAATGGCTGGAAGTAGTGATAACCAACGTGTACCAATATGACGTTTGATTTCTTGAAATTCGCCATCAACCATAGTAACAATTTTTTTTAAATCATCTTTTCTACAAGCAGATACCGTAAAATGACTGTATATTTTTAAAAAAATATTTTCTATGTCACAAATCAAGTAGCCCATAGCATGTTTCACTGTATTATGGATAATGTGTGCATGACAGTTGCCTTTTATTAGGTTTGGTACTTCATTTTTAATATTTGTGTACAATGGGTGATGAATGCCAAAATTAGCATTGCAATTGTCTGCACTGAGACCTGATACTTGATTGAATGACAGGTTGTGGGAATCCATAGACTTCTTCATAGCTTCTAACATGCCATTAGCAGATTCATTAGAATTTTCGTAAAAATCTATCAGTTTATTTTGGATCCCTTCATTTATTGAAAAATATTGCACTACGAGAGGAAATAACTTAATATTCTTTTTATTCGATGCGTCTGTCTGGAGACAGAAAAATACATCATCATGTAAATCATTTATTACACTTTCCACAGAATATGGACCTAACACTTCTGTCACTAAAGCTTCCATTTTAGTTCTTGCCAAGCGTATTTTACTAGCTATTTTGGAATCTACGAATACAATTTTGTTAAATTTATTTAGGCAATCCATGCTATTATAAGATAGATTATGCTTCACAGTGTGCAAAGTCAATGCTAATTCCGCTGCTGTAATATTCTCATCATCACTAGATTTTTGACATCTTGATTTAGTATTTGATGTAAGGAAATTTTGTAATGCACCAGATGTTTTCTTCATTTCAGTTTTCATCTTATGCTTCTGAGTATTTTGATGTTGCTTAATCTATAGTAAGAAAGAAACAAACTGACATCACCACCATATTAAACCATCACCATTTTCAAAATAATACTGAATCATGAATTTCCTATTCTTCAATTGAATGACAAATATTAAAATATCTATTAATATAATTTTATCCAAAAACAGTTATGTGAATGAGAATATAAACATTTCAGAATTCTGACAATTAATATGATTTTTTTTTATATTATTATAATAACAAGTAACAAGATTATTTTTAAAATAACTCATAGAATTTGAAACATTGAAACTAATTTCCCATGCTCATGCTTAAAAAATAATGTATAAATTGCCAATGCAAACTAGATTCTCAAATATGCATGCAACTATAACTGTTTTTAAAACTTTTCAATATAAAGTCCTACCATATACGAACTGGTGACTTTTTTTTGTCAAGATGTAAAAAAACCTAATGAATTAGGCTAGGTGAGTAAGTTAAAAATGTAAATAAAATAACTATATGAAAGGGGAAGCAACGTAGCTTTAACAATATTTGTACACATTAATAAATTTTCATACCTATCCAATGCCAGCTGAACTGATTGTAAAATTCACGCCGCAGGTAATACATTTTGCATTAGTTTTATTTTGAAGATCACTTGTTATCCAGTTGTATTGTTTTTCCCGCTCAGGTTTATACTTTTGTAAGACTTTGGTTTTTTTAGCTTTTTTAGGAGTCACTAGTGTGTTGCTATCAGAATTACTCGTCATTTTAAGCATTAATATTTACTTTAAAATGCATTCTTCAATTATAAACAAAACCAGCGGACTATTTTTGTACAATTTCGTCGATAGTGACATCTGTGACAACTGAAAAGTGTCACAAGTCATCGTCAATCGTTTCCATTATCCGTTTTAAACATTTCATTCAGTAATTATAAATCGTTAAGTACCCATAATGAGTATTTTGTTTTACGCATCACAGTAAAGGTTGAAAATAAAGTATTTTTGCATACTTTATTTGTATGTAAAAGTATAAAGTATAATTACCAAAAATAAAGTAGGATACGTTATTATAAAGTATGGTTGGCAAACCTAGTCGCCGCCCGCTTATTTTTCGAGAAAGTATAACGGTGGGCTATTCTGCAACCGCGGGTTTCTCTAGTAGTAGTCTCTTAGTATTTCGCATATTATATGGATTTCTGTAGAGCCCGAACAGTTTCCATTCACGAGCAAGGGTAGCGATCGGCAAAATTTCGGTCTCTTGAAGTATCGCCACGTCAGGACACAGTATCGTATTTTCCTCGCTTACTTTTTCCTGAAACAGCAGGGCCAAAACCTGTTGTTCGAAAAAAAAGTACTACAATCAACTACAGACGATTTCGGATATGTGGATGCAAGAAATAAGTTGCTTTATCAATTTTGAAGCAACTAAAAATAAAAAAAGTGACTGACTACCTACCATCCTACAAGCGATGTCTGAGCTAGCTGCAAGGATGTACATATTTTATTTGACGACCTTCGTGGCCGAGTGGTTTGTACGCCGGGTTTCATGGTTTCGTCCACTAAAGAGGTCTAGGATGGGGAGGATAAATATACTTAAATATGTACAATATATGTATTCTATCCGTTGCTCTAGTATCCCATAACACAAGCCTTACAGTGCTTACTTTTGGGCTAGGCTAATTGGTGCGAGTGTTGGAAATATTTATTATTTGTGCGCACAGCGTACTTCGGTAGTACGCTATGACCCTATCACAGAGGTCAATGCCCCCCATGCAGGTGTTATAGTTTTTGACTATAGCAGTTTGTGATACATCCATCTTTCTCTTTTGAATCTGGCACCAACGCTTACATGTAGATAACTACATGGTGGCTTTAGTGTCTTTCCATTTTATCACACATACTTTTTCGTCATTTCGGAGTTTCTCATCAAATTCCCCACGTTTCAGCTGTTTGTCAGTCTTCAGTTTCTTGGATACATCTCCAAACCGATTGTTAATGACGGTACAAGGCAAGTAAACTTGGTTTTTATTTTTATTTAAATAATTAGCAAATTCTATGCTCGTAATAAACCTGTTTGTGTACAACACGCAGTTTTCTTGAATCGTGCGTCAGAGCAGTTTTACTATTCCTGCTCCTAGTCCTAGAGATGTCATTTCCTCCTGCGGTATTGTATTCGAACCTACATACATTTCAAAGTGCTACACTAGGCCATCTTTTGAAGCCAAAACGAAGTTCTTGAGCCCTAGTGGGTTTAGATTTGATGGATCGTGTTACAGATATTTGCACCTTCAAGCCAAAGGAACCATTTGCTTATCAATTGACATGTGCTTTGATTGAGGTAAACAATGGCATTTATGAAGGATTTTCTGAAGAATTGGCATTATATTCCATAGTTTGTCACCTGTTTGGAAGCTGATAGAAATACTGTTGTTGCGGCTTATTACGGGTTTGTAGCTTCAACTCTGCGATACGGTGTAATTAGGGTTCATGATTTCTCGAGCTTTGCAATTTATCGGGTCTCGAGAATTCTCGAGGCTTCTCGGATTGTCGGGAAATTTGCATTATGTACTTTTTTTCATATTATTTGGTGCCAATAACGTCAACAAATTCAGTGGTTTTCTTCTGACATAAAAGTACAAAGTTAATTATAAAACTTTTATTGATTATATCCAAAAACATTAATCTTATGAATAAGCTAACTTTTGTTATTTAGAACTTATAACTATATATCTATCAGTAATATTATCTTCATTCCATTTTTGTGAGCTATCTAAATCTATCAATGCCTTTTTGATAGCATTTTTTTAATTTCAAGAAACGTTCAATCATTGTCAGCATTGAATTCCATCTAGTTCTGACATCGAGTAACGAAACTTGTTCTACTTCGAATTCGGCTACTACATATTTCTGCACTGTGATTGATTTTATAGGACTCTTTCTGAAAAATCTTATAATCGATCAGGTCTCAGTCATAACATAGTCTATGTCATCAATTATTTGCGATCTAGGTTCTACATTAGATATATAAGATTCACCATCGTTATCAGTGCTGCTGGTTTTATGGGAGCTGCTGTTTGTCATCGTTATCAGGATCGAATGATATTAAATACTTTTTTCTATACGCAAACGCTATTTTTACTATTAATAAAGTTACTTATCCAAATACTTCTTTTTTTCTTGAGAGCCGGTATCATCGCAAAAAATTAAAACCAATTCTTCCCAAGCACGTCGTTTTAAAATTTTATTTCTATAGGTAGCGTTATAGCGTAGCGTTTTAACGTCGCGTTTTTTCATGTGACACAAATTGTCTGGATTGGCCCAACGCTCCTTAACTTAACGGACCATTCGCCAAAGCGTAGTGCAGATCGATAGCAGAGTGTGAAAAGTTTGTTCGTTATGGAGATGTCGACTGATTCAGATGTGGAAGAATTATTACTTTTATATGCTTTATCACGGTCACAGAGAAAAAGAGTATGGGTGCACGACATCAATAAAAAGAGGAGGGATTTAGGAGAATGTCATCGTTTGTATCGCGAGCTTGCATCACATGAAGATCGTTTTTTACATACTTTCGTATGCCTTAAGATTTATTCGAAGAACTACATGAAATGCTCATCCCAAAACTAAGCAAATGTACCACAAACTGGACGACGCCTATTTCTACAAGAGAAAGACTTGTTATATGTCTAAGGTAAGAAATATTAATTGTTTTAAATCACGTTCATTGCGTTATTATTATGAAAATCAACGGAGGATATCGATGCTCCAAAATTAGCATATCGCTTTCGCGTAGTGGTTGACGTAGCTGCTTAGGCTGTTGCAGGTATGATGAAGTACTAATGTTAGATAAATCTATAACAGCTACTGGGGATAAATCTTCGGGCCCAAAATCAGTTACTGCATAAGAGACGGAGTCTTCTAGTATGGGATGGCATTGGAGATCGTTGCGTGTACGTTTTCGATAGCGCACCCTAACTTCGGTTCTGGTTTTGTCGAGTCCCTCAAACAGCTTTTTATTTTGAGCTTTGAGATTCTCCACGATTTCACCGTCAAAGTGATATGCCATTAATTTTTTTATCTTTATCAGGGGGTTTGCCTTTTTGCCCGTTTTCACCTCCAACGACTTGTCTGTCTCAATTTGGTTCCGGAGGAGCTTTGCATCATCCTGAGATTCGCAGCTGAGCACCACCTTACGGTCCCTGGCCTTCCTGACACGGTCCACTTTGAGACCCGTTGTCTTGAAGTCGAGGGAGCGCCTGAGGGTCTCAATAACCCCTCCCCGGTTTTGGTTGGGTCTTTACTGGTGACAATGATTGAATGCTGCGGGGTTTTATTGGCTGCCAGAGCTTGCGCATAAGTTGTTTTGCGCTGGACTTTGTTGCTCGGTGGTTGCTTTTTAGCTTGGTTGAATATTTACTATTGTAGAATTCGAGAGTGGTCTTGAGCTCCTTAGCGACTCCGGATATTTCTGCCACTTCATTTCTTAAGGGATCAAGCAATCTTTCAATTTTGGTTGTGGCCTCTGCCAGCGCCATCTCGGAACCCAAGCCCATCTCGGACCGACCCGGAAGCCCATTTGTGAGGACGACGTCCCTGACCTCCTCTACTCCCTCCCGCAACTGTCTATTTGTATTGATTATTGGAGCAAGTGATGTGTTAACAAATTCCCTCAGTTCTTCGCCTGTGACAGGTTTAAATTGGGTGAAGTCATGTCGCAGTTGCTCCACGTCCTCTCTTATCCTGGATAGCTCAGTTTTCATGCCCATGAAGACCTCGTTTTCTGCCCCGTCGAAGGTCTGGGGGGGTCTCTGGTGGCGGCGAACGGTCCCCTCCAACCTGGCCGCTGGACTTCTCCAGCTTGAGGTAGTTAGTTCCGTTGCCAGCTGCGATATTTGGTTTGATATATTTCGAAGCTCTGGAAGGAGGTCGTGTTCGGGGGGGGGGGGGGGGTGCACAGCATCCATAGCCTGGAAACAGTTCAGAACAGACAGAAGTATTCAAATAAGTGTTTCTGAACAATTTATAGTCTCTTTTAAATCTGCCATTAACTACTTCCACTACCCATCTGCACAAAGTGCCACACCTGGAATAAAATCTAAAGAAAATATAACTAGAAAAAATTCCACGCGGACCAGGCAGCAGACGGGACTCGAACCCGCACCCTTCGCAATCCGGGCGAATGCACTGACCAATTATGCTACCGCGGCCCTCACGGACCGCGTCGAAATTCTTTCTAGCTATTCTTAAGCTGCAAGGCAGCGCCACCTCTTCGCATTATAGGTAAACCCACAATGTCAAATGAATACTTTTACAAGTATTAAACATTTGAAAGAACATCAAGCAGAACATCAAAGAAGAGATTTAAACATCAAGCAGTTACATGCTTTAAAAATAATAAAAATTATAACTATAAATTGCTATTTCTTCTTTCAAATGTTTAATACTTGTAAAAGTATTCATTTGACATTGTGGGTTTACCTATAATGCGAAGAGGTGGCGCTGCCTTGCAGCTTAAGAATAGCTAGAAAGAATTTCGACGCGGTCCGTGAGGGCCGCGGTAGCATAATTGGTCAGTGCATTCGCCCGGATTGCGAAGGGTGCGGGTTCGAGTCCCGTCTGCTGCCTGGTCCGCGTGGAATTTTTTCTAGTTATATTTTCTTTAGATTTAAACATCAAGCAGTTACATGCTTTAAAAATAATAAAAATTATAACTATAATTGCTATTTCTTCTTTCAAATGTTTAATACTTGTAAAAGTATTCATTTGACATTGTGGGTTTACCTATAATGCGAAGAGGTGGCGCTGCCTTGCAGCTTAAGAATAGCTAGAAAGAATTTCGACGCGGTCCGTGAGGGCCGCGGTAGCATAATTGGTCAGTGCATTCGCCCGGATTGCGAAGGGTGCGGGTTCGAGTCCCGTCTGCTGCCTGGTCCGCGTGGAATTTTTT